AGGTCTCGGATTTCATTTTCCGCAGGTCCTCCAACGGCACAATGGCAACAACAATTACTTCTTATCCCAACAAATCCACTTCTTTCCTGTCGGACTTACCTTTTAGTGTGACCTGGTCATCTTTACTTGTAATAAGTAAGCCCACGGGCCAGCCCGCAAAAGGCGAGGGGTGCGCGTCCTCATTTGCAATCTCTGCTGACGCTCCATGCATGGTCTCTGAATCCGCCTCCGTGTCCTACAGTGAATCAAAAACGGGTTGCTTTCGAACCGCGTCTCATGCATAATACAATCTCATCTAACATATCCTTGTCCACTTACCTGATGATGTGTCTTCTCTGACGACTGCATCAATAAAAATGCGTTGCTGTTGCTAGATAACTAATACATTTCCTTGTGCCTACTGTCGCAGCTGTTGCTAGATAACTAATACATTTCCTTATGCCTACTGTCGCAGGCCTGCCGGTGTCGAGCGTCCTCATTTGCAATCTCTGCTGACGCTCCATGCATGGTCTCTGAATCTGCCTCCGTGTCCCACAGTGATTCAATAACGGGTTGCTTTCGAACCGCGTCTCATGCATGATACAATCTCATCTAACATATCCTTGTCCACTTACCTGATGATGTGTCTTCTCTGACGACTGCATCAATAAAAATGCGTTGCTGTTGCTAGATAACTAATACATTTCCTTGTGCCTACTGTCGCAGGCCTGCCGGTGTCGAGCGTCCTCATTTGCAATCTCTGCTGACGCTCCATGCATGGTCTCTGAATCCGCCTCCGTGTCCTACAGTGAATCAAAAACGGGTTGCTTTCGAACCGCGTCTCATGCATGATGCAATCTCATCTAACATATCCTTGTCCACTTACCTGATGATGTGTCTTCTCTGACGACTGCATCAATAAAAATGCGTTGCTGTTGCTAGATAGCTAATACATCTCCTTGTGCCTACTGTCGCAGGCCTGCCGGTGTAGATCTTCCAAAAAAAGTCTCGTTGCTGCAGCCGGCGACCGCAGAAGCATCATCAAAGACGGTAGGTCCCACTTTTGTAGTTCATCTTCAGTCAGAGCATATTGGACCATCATCTTCTCGTACACGGCCATGTTGTGCTTGCGCAACAACTGCTTCAGACGCAAAGACAGTTCCGTGGTTGCGCTTTGGCTGCGACATGACGGTGTTGGTGGAGCACTTTCTGATCGCGGTTTGGTTGGTGTCAAGATAACACCATCTCTTTTGCGTTTTGGACGCCTCTTCGGGTCTGGCCAAGGCTGCTCCTCCTGCAATGAACATGAGAACGCCGTTATGTGAAGAATTTCTAGGATCATTCGGACGAGTGGGGCCCACAGGGACACATATGCCATTATGCAATTAGAAAGTCTTAGGAGGGAAGTGATGTAAGTTTCAGCCAGCAGGTCCTGTAGCACACCTTTGATGCGAAATCCCACATACACATGCGAGCAGCCTCCGTATGTGGCATGTTCCAAGCATAAATAGCAACGGCCACATGTATGATCCGCAACATCGGGCGCCGCGCCCTCTGCTGGTTGCTGTTGCCAATGCTTCTGTGCCCCTGGTCCAATGATGCATATACACCATCTGCGGAGCGTTGCGACATTACTCTCCAAGGCTTCAACACTTCGCTCCAATCGACATCCCAAAGCACGCAGAACTTCTTCTGGAAGCTCCTCCGTATCTCTCAAAGCAATTATCCGCTTCAACTGCTTCAGAACAGTTGCAGTGAGAGGGGTCCTGCATCGTGACATAATGGCTTCTGGTTTTTTTTTCCTCTTACGCTCCTGTTGATGTAATGACTTAGCCCCAAACAAGAAAATGTATTGCAACTAAAGAAATACAAACATTGACACATGCATCCCAGTTGCTTGGTCAGCCCCAAGCTCTGCGGATCCTCTCGCATAGCCAGGTACAAGTTGCCATCGGAATCTGAGTCGCTCACAAAGTGCCCTCCCTGCATGTACTTCTCTGCATCGGCTCTATATGTGCTACTCCACGTTCCCATCGGGGCGTCGACATAGTCACATCGTGATTGGCAGTTTCTATTGCACGACTCTTGGAGAATTCATTCAGCTCATCCAATAGCTGCGCAACAGGTACTTTCAAGTTCAACGCAGGTCTAAGACGATGCCTGTGGAAACTTTCCTGCGCTGTGGCTGTTTCAAGCCAAAAAAACAAAGACTCCATCAGCACAGCCCTTAAAATTCGCTTGAATTCACAAAGAGAAAGCCTCACGACATGTATACAAAGACTCGTCAGAAATCAATATAGTATTCTCTACAAAAACCATGAATCAAACACATATCCTCTTTAGTCTTTGGCCTGCGGTTGCGACCCGACATAACTCCCTGGTTGGAGTGACGCACAGCACCAGTGTGCTCTCCAGTGGCCCGACGCATTGTCTTTGTGCAAATAATGCTGGGTGAGTTTCCGAACAGCCAGGGTCTCTCCGCAATCGGTGAGCACTCCCAAGCATTGTTCCCACACAAAATTGAACAGAGGCCACGTGAGATAGCGTGTGCCATAGATGACGCTCTCCAAACGATCTAACCAACTGGGATCCTGCAAAGCCTGCCGGAGAACAGTGATCATTCCTTTCCTCCATGGTCTCTGCTCATCGTCACTTCTCAACCCCTTGGGTGGTCGAACGTTGCCCATGGCGTGTGAAAAATCGCCGCCATAGACAGCACACCTGTCAGGAGACAGAGCCGTCAAATGAGAAAACTGAACGTATAGACCAAGGCAAGAGAAGACGAGTCATGACAATGTCACACAATGATTTTGAAAAGCAACGATCGTAGATGTCTGTCATGCCTCTACTGCCTCTACTTCCGACTTTACCCAAGGAATAGTCTAGATCGATACTAAAGCCTGTCTGTCTGTACCATGATAAACATCGCCTCATAGCTTACAAGCCCGGCCAGCCTGTAGTGATTCTGGGCAGCAATCATCAAGCCACCATGGAAATCTGCGTGAAATTGGCCAACAGTGGCGCAAAAGTTCGGAACATTCAGAACTGCTTCCATCACCAAGTCAAAGTCGGAAAATAGACGGCCATATGTGATTTGATGCTCGCTTTTCATGATGGCATAGAAGGCTTCCCGGTAGGTGGTTGGAAACACATGCTTAGACTTTCCAGAATGGTGATAATCACTCCCACCGCCTGCTGATTTCAGAAGAAATCCGAAAGTTGCAAAGGTGAATGACTGATTGGTAAGCCGGTAGACTCCATCAGACCCAGCTTTCACAAACGATTTGTTGCGCATTTTCTGCCAGAGTGCCTTGAGTAACACTGGGTTTACCAAGGTCACGCATAGAAACTCATCCTTCAGGTGCGCATTGGCTAGAAGCAATCCATTTTGATTGTGCAAGTTCTTGTCTTTCACTGACTTCATGGTCTGCGCCAAAAGTTGAAAATCTGCCAGATTCCACGTTGTCTGGCTGTGCTTCCCCTTGCCTTTCAACTTCTTCTCACGCACACGACAATTCTTCAAGAAGACCGCGACATGTTTCTCTTTAGGCTGCAGTCCAGCGCCGTGAAGAGCCTGGCATTGCAGAATGGAAACTCACATTATATGTAGGTTACAGCCCATACTATCGGATTATTTTTTCTATCACACCATACAACAGACAACAGTTGGCCCGAAAGCGTTTGGACAAAGACCCAGTAACATATAATCAAGTATTTAAACTATATTTGTATGTCATGAAGGGGTAAAGATCTTCAGATGTGAGGAGATGGAAGAGAAAGGTTTAAAGATGGAGATCTGAAAGTGAAGAGCTGAGGATGTGAAGATGAAGAGACATAGTTAATAGAGGTTTGAATGGCAGGAGCTGATGGACCACTTGTCGAACAACATCTTTGCAAACTTGCGTCAAGCCTTTGGTGCCCCACTTCTTGTCTTTGCCAGAATGCTTTTCCAAAGAGTTCGCAACGAAGACGCTCTGTTTTGTAGTCCGATCATACGTTGCATAGCCACGCCACTTGCAAGAGGCACAAGACTTGCACTGGAACTTGTAGTAATAGCCAGGCCTCTTCCTTGCGCGGTACTCCTGGTATATGAATCTTCACCTACGTTAGCGCGCCATCAATCCGACAAAGAGCGCCACTGCGCGTGGAGTTAAACAGTCATGTACCATGAAAAACTGCACAGAAATCATGGAAAACGCATAGAAATCATGGAAACCGTGCAAACTATGAAAACCGTACAGAAATCTTGGACAACAGGGAAACCATGGAAACCGCAGACAAATCATGGAAACCATGGAGACCATGGAAACCGCAAAGAAATCATGGAAACCGTGGAAACCATGGAAACCGCAAAGACATCATGAAAACCATGGAAACCGCAGACAAATCGTGGAAACCATGGAAACCATGGAAACCGCAAAGAAATCATGGAAACCATGGAAACCATGGAAACCGCAAAGAGATCATGGAAACCATGGAAACCGCAGAAAAACATAGAAACCACAAAAACCATGGAAACCGCAAAGAAAGTATGGAAACCATGGAAACCATGGAAACCGCACAGACATCATGGAAACCATGGAAACCATGGAAAACCGCAGAGAAAAATGGAAACCATGGAAACCATGGCACAGAGTGAGTCGCGTTTCAAAATGAGTAATAAAGTCGCGTTTCAAATTGAGTATTATCCCGCGTTCTAAAACGAAACCTTCCCAACATGGGGTGCTCCTAACACCCGAGCTACCAGGGTGTGTTGAATTGGTAGATAAAGAATGATAAAGGTATATAAATTGACCAATCTGCAAAAAAATATTCTTTTGAGGTGCTTAACAAATATTCCCACCAAAAATGGTGGGCGTGATGTGGTTTATGAAACTACCCATCACCAAGCTATCTTTGATAGTTGAGTCACTTAAGTCCCCTGCTGCTTTCATCTAGTTTAGTCAGTTGAATCCCCAATTTTCGCTGGTCAAAACCTGTCCAACCCACCTCCCCTCCCTGCGAAATCTCACCCGAGATGCTCATGAGAAGTTCCGCGAAGTCGGAGGCATAGTACCTGCCAAGTCGGTTTTCATGGGGGGTTTTCCTGAAATGGAGGTACCTCAAAATGGATGGGAAACGGATGATTTATAGGGGAAAATCCATGGAAATCCTACGAAAATTTGGATGATTTGGAAGTACCCCCATTTCAGGAAACCCTGAGGCCATCAACCCCGGACTTCAGAAGGGAATGGATGTCCGAGACCATAAAGGGGTAGTTCCTACACCCCAATATGTTGATGATTTGATGGATGATCCATTTTTCCCCAAAAAAAAATATGGCAAGGTGGAAAGATTTCACTCCCAACTGTTGAACCCGAATGGTTTAACATGGTTTAACCAACAAAACCAAAGCTTGTCCAAACGAGAGATGACAATTTAATCAGCCAAAACAACAATCAGGCCCATATATTTGCATGATAATGACATCAAAAAAAATCGATGACTTAAGTAACGCTTAAAAACAGAGATGAATGCCTCGTCACATGGACAGTTTTAGGCGTTTTCAGATCCTATGAATGACCAATCATTTGTGATCCATGATTGGCAAGTTCATGGTAAAATATCCCAGGTCCAGTATACAGATGTTGGACCTCAAAAAATCTGGGATTGACCCCTAAGTTCTGGCAAAATGCTGAGTTTTTTCCCGTAGATGATCCCAAAAATCCACCGCCTTCTGGTGGGCAGGAGGTCAAAGTTGATGTCCGCCTCGGCAGATGTTTTGGATTCTGAAGCCAGAAGTGGATAAGCATCAAGATCATCAATTGATAAATAGTGATAAATGGGGTACAAGATGGTACAAGTGATAAATGATGGTCAGGTGGCCAGTTGGTAAGCCATGGAAGTTGGGCAATGAACCAAACTGGGGATGACAAACACAAAAAGATGGTGCGGAACAAAGGGACACAGCGACCAGTAGCTCGGGGGCCCCCAGTTATGTTTGCTGATCATTCCCATGAACGATAGATATTTCTACCATAAACATCCATAAACATCCATAGACCTTAGTTATGTCAGTAGTTATGTGCACCAAATTGGCTAACAAGCTCTGGCACCTTACTGACCAAATTGATCCAAATTGAAGGTCTCCGAATCCAGAAACGAGCAAAGTTTGATCCATTGAATGCGAGGGTTTGCTTGAGATGGTCACAAAAAACAACATGTCACCTGAAGGGTGGATTAACCAACGCGAAGATGATAAAAAAAAAATCGCCCATTGATAAAACCCAGTTTTTCCATGGTTTTCCCTTTAAGATTGCCATCAATTGGGTGTTAATCGATCATTTCCAGACACGCCCAAATAGCGCTAGTGTTAGATACACATCCCATAGCATCCTATATCCCATGAAGTTCCATTCAATCCCTAAGTTGATATCCCCATAAAATTCCGCGAATTCCAATGAAATCCCCGTTAAATATCGTTCAATCCTATTTTAACCATTGTAAAATTCTTGAATCCCCATGTCGCCGGCATAGCATCTACGGGATCCAAGGGGCCGTATCAAAGGATCGCACAGGGCAGTTGCGATAGATGGCAAAGAACTCACCCAGCTCGTAGTAGCGGATGTAGTGATACCTCCGTGAAAAACGATTATGCTTGGATAGATTTGTATAGATGATAGGATTGACTCTTGTAAGTGTTATATAATTTAAATACATGTAAATACTAGGATATGATTTGACAACAGGGTACCCATGAGTCGTTCCACATGTTTTCGCTTTGGCCATGGCGACCCAGTTTACTGGGGACCTGTTTGGAGATCCACCATGAGCTACACTAATTCACCAAGGAAAAAATCACAGGATTTAGAAAAACCACCGTAAGTGGAAAAACAACTTCGAAGCCATGCCAATTTAAGTATATAACTGAAAGGATCATCCCACAAACTCGAACATATTCTAACTAGCTATAGTTAGTAAGCCTGGTGATTGTATCTAAGTCCACGATTTGTTTTGTGATTCATTTAGCTGGGCTTTCACTAACCCAGACACCAACGACCCCCAGTGACAGCTTGTGGGGACGATGTGTATCCCCGGTTTGCCGCTTCGCCCGGATTCCGCCTGTTTTGCCGATGAATTGATTACCCAAAACATCAACCAGTCTTGCCCATCTGACAGCCCATGTAGAAGACTACCATGGGAAAAACACATACCCTCTGATAATTTAACATAGCTATTGAAAATGGCAATTTATAGTGGATTTACCCATTGAAAATGGTGATTTTCCATAGTTATGTTAACGTTTACCAGAGGGTACCATCACAAAAACCATGATGACTTGAGAACTCCCTGAAACAAGTGACAAACAGGCTGAAACATCTTTTCCGAGCTACGTGGTGGAATCTCGAATGCGCAAGATGCAGAGAAACAAGGCCTGTGCCAGCTCCACTTTGTTCAACGAACAAAAGCGTAACATCACCTGGCGGGCGACAAGGCAAGGTGGCATCCTGCACCAGTGATGCGGTTTTCATATTGGGATTCCAATGAAACACTGGGACTATAGTTATTTTTTGGAATTTTGGAATGCCAATGGTGTTTCATTGGAATCCCAATATTATGAACATTGTTATAAACATATGATGGGATTGTAATGGGATTTTGCCCATCCTACCAAGTCTAGGACTTCTTTCCATCCACAGTATGGATGATTTAACGAAAACAAACATGGGATGTCAACCAGAAACAAAATTGGGCACCATATTGGGGAATATGGGATTATATTCTAACCAAATTTTGGGATTCTAACCAAAAAGGAGGATTGAGCTTATAAAACTCAAGACCGTGGTTTCCGTTGTCATTTTCGCTTACCCCGCCTTTTTATCTCCTGTCACCATTTCAAGACAAATCATCGACCAAGCTATTCACCTACCATTCACGAGCGATGGTCAATAGGCTTGCCAAAAAGCTCAGGAAAAGAGTGTCTCCGGGATGTCATGTACATACCTTACTGTGTACTTTCCAGGTTTCCATCTTCTCCATCATCTATCTATGTTAATCTATTTCTGGGTTGCTGACCCAGTTTCTCATCTGATCTCCTCTGCCGAGACGCCCAGAGGAACTTGTCCCAGGTCGCTTCCCTTTCGCAGTCGCCCAGTTTGAGGATGCATTTCAACAGCTTCAGGACCCACTTCCTCCGATCTTCAATCAACACCTGACGTCCGGGAGCTGGTGATTTTCGAGACGCTGAAGTGCTAAATGTACCAGCTCTCAGGGTGGAGAATACTGAAGATTAACTTCAAATGGATTGGAAACCTTCCATGGAATTTCCGGTAGAATTTCCAATGGAATCGCATCTAAACCTGCAAGATTTGCCGCCATTCAATCAGTTTCCCCATTGCTAAACGTCATCGGGCGAGGTTTTTGAGGGAGAATCAGTTTCCAGCCGTGGCGGCAAGGCGTCAATATTGGATCTCCTCTAACTGGAACATCAACTTCTCCGGCAAAAATGACAGTGGCTATGTAGCAGCTCCAGCTGAAAAATGGTGCCGGTAAAAATTAGGATGCGGCTTATGATTGGTTTTATCACATTCTATCACAAAGTTATATATATATAATTATAAATTATATATATATATATATAAATATACATATCCTATCACGCCCCCATTCTTGCAGTATACCAATCTTCAAGTCCCCATGAGAATCCCCAGGTTAAATCGCCATTTGTCCTACTTCCGCCGCCAGGGCACAGGAAGGACTTCGGCGTTCACCGCATAGACGGTGGTGTAGAAGGAATCATCTTCCTCCAGACCCTTCAAGGCCTCTGCACACCACCATGGCCACCAGGGATTGGGACTAACGAGCCAAAAAGATGGGAAGTTTCATGGGAAGAGTGGAAGTGTCATAGGTTTTTTTCAAAAAATGCAATTTTCTGGGATGGATGTTTCATAGAAATGTTTATTTTTCTAACAGAAAAATCCCATGATCAGAAACTGAAGCATCCACCTGGGGAGGAAACGTCGTGGCATCTACCAGTAAACTAACAGTGACTGCTGTAAAACATGACCCGATAGTTCGATGATTTACTGAATAAAATGCTGGTTTTCCATAGCTTTTTGTGATTTTGTGTGTGTGTGTGTTTACCAAAGGGTATCTCAGTACCATCGACCCATTGCGGTGCGCATCACAAATCCCCCCCATATTTGGATGGGATTGGAAGCGCTGCTTCACCCTGATAATCCCCATATTACTATACTATGATGGGACCGATAGGACATCAAAGGTCTACAATTTACCAATCAGTCAATCATTGCAATATATTGCAATCATACTCTCATTATTCATGGATGTATAGTAATATGATGTAATCAATGGGTATTAGGACTCCGGTTATAATAAATATATTTAGCAATGAAAATGGATTGGTAAACCATTCATATGATTCATGGATAGCTTGCCCATGTAGGTCAGCGCTTTTTGGCGCCAAGTCGCATGGAAGACGTTGTAGATCGTCAACCTTAGCACCGGTAAAAATCGTCAAAACAGGCCTCAATGGATTGTTTGGAAATTCTGCAGGAAAAACCACGGGTTTTCCTTTGAAACAATAGAAGTCTCCTTTTCCAGGGAAACCCTCTGGGAGATTTTTTCTGAAAACCCGCCTTTTTTTTCGATGGGAAAAGCAGCAGCCATCGTAATGGGGGCATGGGAAAAGTTGCTCCAAGCAGCAAGTGCCTCTGCTGGATATTGATGGATTCCAAATATAAAGCCACCTGTGACAGCAGAGTAAGACGAACAGTTGGGTTGTTGCCCGCTGGTCACAGTTTGCGAAGTGGAAAAACCACCATTGTTTGCAGGCAAATATATAATCTATATACTTTCACTAATACCATTTTCGATAGCAAACTCTTAGTTTACCAGAAGGTATATGATTGGGGTCCATACGAAGTTTCCGTTGTAATTCAGGTAAGGGATCACACCCCTGCAGCCCATTGTTTCGGAGTTCACCCGGGGAATCACCGAACGATATAAACGAGACATTGTTAATATGCGCATGTTAAATAGTTTAGCTCACTGTTCCAATAGTCACTAATTATATCTAATTATGAAGTCAATTGTTGAGGTGTTTCCGAAGGCACCCAAGTCTGACTTGACCCATTTGTTCATGTACTTCACCAGTTGACCATCATTGCTGGTTTTCACCCATCGAGTTGTCTATCCCTTCGATTCCCTTTCCACTTCAGTAAATTCCATCATAGGATGATTTAAAATTCACCCGAAGAAAAACAGAAATGATGATGTCACAATCATTTTTGGATGCTTTTGAGATATCAAAAAAAAACATCTGAACACATCTCCTGTGATTCTACGCATCCCGTGTGAAACATGACCCCCCCCCACCATCCCTGGAGGGTTCCCATGGTGTCCAGCTGCCTCCGGGTTTGGCTCGGGCGGCGAACTCTTGGCGAAGATGCCCACGCAGCGCTTGCCGATGTTCAAAAACCGCTGGAGCAAGCTGGGCCCGCCATCCTCCTAGCCGTAGCGGGAGAAAGTTGGAATGGTTGGAAGGTGGGGGTTCTACTTTAAATGGGTAACCAATGTGGGATAAAGAATGGATTGTATATTATATATCTATATAGGGGTATTACATGGTGTCATATGGGTTTATAGTTGAAATTGAACTACGTTTCTACTTGCTACATAAGTTGAGTGACCAATTGAACTAGGCTTTTTAGTCGTTAACCCACTTGGTACAGTAGTTTACTTGGCAAGTGCGGTACTGATCACAAGTGTGCCGTTTTTGAGGGAGAACAATCATTTTAAACCAGGTTCCCCAGGTCGAACGGAGGTTTACAGCCAGAGAACTTGGGCGCATATCCCCTGAAATTTCGCCCATATATATGGTAGGTAGGTAGAGAGAGAGAGAGAGAGAGAGATATAGAATGCATGTAGCTTCAGAGGTTCGGGGGTCAAAAAACATGTCGCAACACCGTTGGAACATGGAGATTTCACCTTAACTTACTTTCCCAAAAGAGGTGCTTTGAGGCAGCTGAACCATGCTCGAATGCGGGATGCCTAATTCCTAGTCCTGGTTGTGGCTGGAAGGTGAACTGCCCATCTTCTGAAATTGTGTTTGTCCTGACATTGGAATTTCATCACCTGGAACACTACTGATTCCCCTCGTTTCTCACTTGTTTTTTATATTTTCTGGGTTCCCATCTGCGACCCTCGGCCTCTGCAGGTTGCTGTGCCGCTTGCTGTTCTCCCATGGCACTGCTGCGGCCACATCAGATCGGAGTTTTTGATGGCAAAGCTGTTGGAGATGGCTTGGCTACGGTAGGAAGTGTGAAACTCTTGGAACAGTCCAAACGTCCAAATGGAATTGGCTTGGAACAGTCTTTAGAATCTGGAGTCTCCCTATTCTTAGATAGTTGCTGGGTATCATAGTCCCCAAGGAATTTGAAATCATACGGTCTCTGCCAAATCAGATTTCTCAGGCTCACATGCTTCAAAATCTTGCAGCATTGTTTGAAGCCAGCTTTAGAAGATGTAGTCATGGAAGTCATGTAGTCTCTGTGTTGTTGTGGTGCTAGCCATCTTGTACTAAAGATTAAGCATGTCCGCATCTTCATGTTCAGCTTCTGTACTACCAGACTTGGCCTAGATTCAAGGTAAGCGGAGAAGCATTCATCTGCGCATGTGAAGCTGAGTTCATGGTACTGTATCCCCAAGTCACCATTGCTTTCAATACTAAGTCATGGTCATCCATAACTTGGATGATTTGGAATACTCCTATGTATGTATGACTTCGATTATAACCTCCATTAATATCATCATGATCATCATTGATCTATATTATACTACAACATACATTAACATATTACCCTCTGGTAAACGTTTACATAACTATGGAAAGATCCACCATTTTTAATGGGTGAATCCACTATAAATCACCATTTTCAATAGCTATTTTGACATAACCAGAGGGTACAAACCTCATTAAAAATGTATCGAATCCATAGCCCATTTGGCCATCCCATAGCCCATAACAATCCTGGAATCCAGGTGCTAGCCAGCAAAATCACCCACCACTCAAATTGAGAATGGCTTCGAGTCGGCTTTTGCTCCGTGCAATGTTGGACCAGACATCTTTCTTTTGACTGGTAGAGAACCATAGTTGGGGACATTTACAAGTAAACCAGCGGGTCATTCTTAGAAGGTTAAACCTGCCATGTTCCCTGCAGAAACCAAGTTTAGGATTGATTTACTTAGCACGATTTTGTAATTAATGTCTAATTCATGATTGCAGTTTGACTCAGTTAGTATGTTTTACATTGATTTACTATATTTCGAGTATTGATTGCGATTTGACCATGTTTCCCTTACATTTGGCACGTCTCTGGTTTCCTGATATCCCACCTAGTAACTACATGTGCCATCAAAAATGACCATATATATATATATGTGTATATATGTATATATATATATGTATGTATATGTATATATATATATGTATGTATATGTGTATATATATATATATATATATTCGTTCCAAACAAAAAAAGATGAACTTTCCCATGAAATCAGTATGACATCCCCATCCCTTGTTGGAAAACCAGTCAGGGCATTTCCACCACTTTCACCAGCCCCGGTCCCGCCAGAAAACACCGATGCGGTCGAACTCCATGCGCGCCGCCAAGAGGGACCACTCTGGGCCTGGAGGAGGTCGCCCCCCCTGGTAGGAAGCGACATGTCAGATGTGGCAATAACTATGGTGAGTAACCATTAATGGTTAATAATGGTTAATAATTGTTAATAATGGTTAATAATGGTTAATAATGGTTAATAATGGTTAATATATGTTGATAAATGATGGTTAATAAATGATGGTTAATGATGGTTACTGATAGTAATGGGAGTAAAACAATGCCATAAACCACCCATGACTGGGAATGGTGAACATACCACCTATTTATGGTGAAAGTGGGGATTGTTTATTTTTGCTTCACCAACATTAGTATATAATGTTATTTTGGTGATACCCCATATTATAGTACTAGTAATAGTATTATCATATAGTAGTTGATTGGCAATAATGGCAATAATTTAATTAATGGTAATTAGTCGGAGCTACCAAGAAATTGTCCACCTTAGTTCCCCAAAAGAAACAGTCTTTCATCTCAATGGATTGCATATTCCTCCATCAATGGATTGCAAGAAATCAAGAAATCGACCCACACAATCAAACCATGCACCCACCGGAGGTCTACAGAACACTGCTATTTCATTTGCCGCTCTTCAAGTCTGTCCAGCATCGTCCTTGGGACAATGCATGGATTCGCATTGTCGCGCTGCGAAAACCGCAAGGAAATGAGTACTTGGCTGGTGGAAGTGGCTGATTGGGGCAAAGCATTGTGCATGAAGAGTACCCTCTGGTAATTTAACGTAGCTATTGGAAATGGCCATTTATAGTGAGTTTTCCCATTAAAAATGGTGATTTTCCATAGCTATGTTAGTTTACCAGAGGGTACTTCTAGTGAGCTGCCAGAAACTTGAAGATGTGATGCCATCCATTTTCAGAGAACACCAGTTGGGTAAACCAAGCCGCATGTGGTGACTCTCAGCCTCCACATTGTGGGATCATTTGGAGCCACTCCCATTTCAGAGAGTTCTCCATTGAATTCCTAGTTGGTTGGTTTTTTGGGGATCATCTTCCCACTAAAAAGCGGAGAAAAATCAACAATACCCTCTGGTTATGACATTCACAGTTTGCCATGGTTAAAATCACCATTTTTAATAGGTAAACCAGCTATTTCTATGGGCCATTTTCCAACCACAGCCATTCGTATTCCCCTTCTTGGAGCTCAACCCCACATTTCCAGCTACGAGTCCGACGCTTGAAACCTTGAAACCATCAACCAATCTGGTGATACTCCTGGCACGTTCGCCAGTGAGGTCGCTATAATTTACACAGAACTGAGGAGGGTCAAAAACTTTAAAATCATATTAATATGTGGTTCATAGGGTGCAGATTCCCAAATTCATGCTCCACAAAATAATCAATCAACCGACCATCATTTATCAATGACTATCCCCAATATGTTTGATCGTCTTTGCTCAGTAATTGGACTATATCATATCCACAGTTTATCCACATGTTTGATGGTGAAAACCCGAATTTAATGGTCAAAACAAAGTCATGGATCAGGATGTTTGAAAAATTGTCCTAAATATCCACAATTTGTTTGTTGGTTCAAACCCTTTTTCTGTGATTAAATATGTTTTTCCAGTTCAAATTTCAACTTCAACGTTGCTTGCGTCTTTGTCTTCTTTATATCACCACGTTTCATGGTTGAATCCTGAGGGTCAAATCACTTTGACGTAAATTCCGTTGTTGTTTCATTCAAGTGCAATCGTTCAGTGACGAAATCACACGTTTGATGGTGAAATCATCATTTATTGATGGTAAAATCATCTTTATTTGACATTTCTTCTCACAAAATCACCATATTTTCATGGTGAAATCTCCATTTCTCAACTCCCCGTTTTTCATGAAATCATCATGTTTGATGATAAAATCACATGCTTTACGGTCAAATCCCCATGTCTCACAGTAAAATCCCCATTTTTCACGGTGAACCCCCGGTTCTTCACGGTAAGCGTCCCGTTGTTCACGGGACCGACCCCGGTCTCAGCTCTGGCTTCGCTGCTCCGCAACGCGCCGCAAGATCGTCTCCAGCGCCGCTTTGGCGGCGCAGTTGGCTTGGAGAAAGTCCACGTGCTCCACCAAAGCCTTGATCTGCAGGGGAAATATATATAGTAAGTAACCAGCAGATAGAAAATTCAGGATTGCCAGGTCAACAGATAGAATAGGACAATATTTCTATATATATAGTTCTTGTTTATTGTTATTACTATTATTATCAATATGATGTTCATTGTTATCAATATTATTCTATTATATCCACAAGTGAACATATATATATATATATACATACACAATGTGGGGCCCCCAAGCGATAGCCAAGTTGGTGAACATGACTCCAATAACTAGGGTATGATACTTATAGCTATAGTTCATGGGGTTTATAAACCATCTTATACCTGGGGGGGGCACATTGTATATCTATAATTTAATCTATATAGTAATTTATTGCTATTATCACTATTATCAATATGATGTATATTATGAAAAATATTATGATTGTTATTATTATTGTTATTGTTATTATTTATATAGATATATACATATACACATATAATGTGTGTGAACAACATAACATGTTTCTTAAGTGTTTCTTATGCAAAGGTTGATGGATCTTTTTCGCAAATCCATGAGTGAAATATACATATAGATATAAACTGTTTCCTATGCATTGATGGAATGGATCTCTTTCACAAAAAAAAACTTCGATAGTCTTGGATGTGTATTGATTCTAGGTTTGCTGATTCTTGTCTAGCTTTTCATGTATGACCAAGAATACGACATATCAAAGCTTTAAGTCCTTCTGGATCCCCCAAATGATGGATTGGCCAATGAGAAAATAACAAATCAATGATTCTTGACCATCTTATTTTGGGATTGACGTGATTGTTTGAAAACTCTCACGGAAAAGTCAGGATTTGTCTGCAATTCTTGGGGAGAATCATCGGTGAATCTAGAGCTGCGAAGATCATGGAAGTTCAAGAACAAAGAAGTGGGGTGTGTGGGTGTGTTACTTTTTTCAGAACGGGAGAATCATCTTTTAATGGAAGCTGTTCAGGGGAACTCTATTCTTAGCCATATAGATTTGAAAAGAAACTATCATGTGGTAAAACCCAATGCAATAAACCATCCCCGACATCACTATTTTTCTGGGTTGTTCTTTCAACCATCCCCGAGTCATGGGAGTTGCTTATGGCAGGCTTTACCACAAAATCTACGTGCCCAGGAATCAGACCGGGTGAACAAACCTATTTACCAACCTGAAATCATTCACGAAATCCTTTGAAAATCCCAGAGAATCCAAATGTTCCCGGCATAAACCAAGAGAATTGTTTTCACCACTTGGAGGATCACCAGACTTCGCAACTAGTTAAGTAACTGGGGTCAAAAATCTATTAACCATAGCTGAACCCTAGGAATCCGGGGGCTTGATCCTCCAGGAAACTAGTTCGATACATCACTGGCTTACCATCTGGTCATGACATTGCCAGTTCGCCATGGTATAGATGGCCCATAGAAATAGTTGGTTTATAACTATAATAACCATAGTGTATGATACTTATAGTCATATTTACCATCTGGTTATGACTAACATAGCTATGGAAAATCCCCAAAATAAATGCAGGTGCAAATAGCTGGGAAAATCATCTATTTCTATGGGCCATCTATACCATGGCTATGTTAAATAACCAGAGGCTATCAACATCACCCTAGTTAGAGACTCCCCAGTTTCTACCCATAACTGGTAAACGTTCACAGTTCGCGAACTGGAAAATCACCATCTTTAAGTTCGGTAAATCAACTATAAATGGGGAATGTTCAATAGCAAACTGTTAAATCCCCAGTTTCAAAGCGTAACCAAGTGGGGTTTTGCTACCCAAGCGCCACCATGTTGAACATTGGCACCACCTGCCGCTCATGAAGTTCATCGGGCTCCGCCTCATAGACCTGGCATTTCTGGGAGATGTCATGGCAGTAAGACGGCAAAAAATTGGGAAGCTGGAGAATTATTCATGATACCCTCTGGTAAACATACAAAAAACTATGGAAAATCACCATGTTCACTGGGTAAATCCAATATAAATGGTAATTTTCAATAGCTATGTTAGTTTTACCAGAGGGTAATCTATGAAGTTGGGATGTAAGCTGAATATCTATGATGATATGATGTGTGTTTTAAGCATCAAAAAAAGGAGTTGAGCATCAAAAATTGGGAGACAACTATCAAACAATGAGGAGTTACAACATGTTATAATCTTGAAACATGGGGAATTTTGGTTGGGCGACGTCCAACCCCTCAAAAAAAAACCGGCCGCCGGAAATCAACGGCAAAATCCCCCTGGGCAAAATCTGTCAATCCCTATCCAATCCCCAAAACAGTACAAAAATTGGAGCTTTGCGGCTACAATCCATCCAGTTTTTTTGAAAAACGTACCCTCTGGTAATTCCATAAACTATTTCGTACATAGCTATGGAAACTGGCCCATGTTTTTTCATAAACATAAGTATGATTTACCTATTAAACACTATGATTTTCCAGTTTGCTACGTGAGTCAGTCATAAGCATCAACTACCATCAACAAAACAAGACCTGCCTGAATGCGATCCGCGGTGAAATCCGGTTCACCCCTGCTGGCATAGTACTCCGCAAAGGGCTTCAAGGTCTCCGCAGTGCCCACGGCAACCTCCATGACCCCGCGGTCGATGAGGTTCCCCAGGGTGCACAAGAACTCGGTGAGGTAGATGCCTGGTGAGATGGAGACCCCAACAAAATGTGAGTTGTAGATGTATAGAACCTCCAGTTGTTAGATGTTGTTAGATCCGTTTCTTTATATGGATATATATATAGATAAAATATCATACAATATGACAATATGTATCTATTTCTGAATAATTTATGTATTGTTCCATATCTGCTTTCCGTAGAATGTTTGCTGTATATCAACATCGACATGGAAAAGCCACGGACCGTGTCACCATCTTGGGATGATCATCTAGTCTTGGCCCATCCATTAAGTTCAATGATTTACCATGATTTAGCTTTAAAAGAACGGGTGATTTGCGATCGCTGTGTGAATTTGCAAGAGGCTACAGTATGAATGACAGCGCACCCTGGAGTTACGAGAACACCAAAGTGATACTGTACCCTCCCATGGACAAATGCCAACAAAACCTCCAATGTTTCACCAATAAATTACATGTTTTCCACAAAATCTGCTGGGTTTTTGATGGTGTCCGAAACAATTTCCCCATTTTCCCATGGGTTTCTCCGATTTCTCCCAACCCCAAAGTATTCCAAGTCGTCCACCTGGCGATGCAGCTTCCTCTTCATCTGGCGGAGTCGAAGGATCCAACAGAAACCTCAACAGCTCCGTCATGGCATCGATGTCGAAGAGCTGCGTTAGCGTCTCACTGTGCCACGAGGACAGGGCATCACGGAGGAAGCTCAGGAACTCCTGCAGGGCGTGGCTTTTTCGATGTTTTTCAATCATCAATAGTTGCTGACTTGGTGATTCTTGGAAACATCTACAAACAAACTACTTGCTGATGCTTAGTAATGGGGGAATGAACTGTGCTAGAAAAAACAATCATTCCAGTCCCCCATTCCCTACTAAGCACCACTAAGACTAAGCGGGTATATCATATATCCACATATATCCACATTAAGGGAAACAACACAAAATGCTGTATATAGAACTTCAGGTCTTCAGGGTTCTGGGTTATCTCTTGGGCTACCCGTTCTTAGTAGGCTTCAAGCCATGAACTGAAAAGCCGTGCTTCGTCACTTTCCCAATTACAAAAGCATCCCGCGAATTTTCGGACACCCATTTCTGGAGATGTCTGGAGGATATCGCATGAAAATTCGCTAGTTCTACCATTTTAGTTGTTTGATCACTATAATCCCCTTGTAATGCCCCATTCTCTTTCTTGCTTTCAAACTTAGAGCCCTCATTCCATGACCCAAATCTAATATTTAGATATATTTAGACTTAGACTTTCAGTTTTCCCTTCATAGTCAAATTTCTCAGATTTTCCCAGATCCAGTTCCAGGCTTCCCAGGTGGTTCCCGACTTCCCGTCCTCGCCCACGTTGCCTTCCGCTTTTCGCACCTCATCCATCAGCACCAGCGCCAGCAGCGCATCTCTCGGCAACGCTGTCGGGGCTTCCAGCAGCAGTTCCTCCTCATCCAGCTGCCACCAGGGCCAGGTCAGGCGGTCCTGGTCTCAAGCGATGGTGACACCGCAAAGATACCAGAAACATGGGGAAAATCTTGGATTTTTATAGGGAAAAGATGGCAACTTGAGGCCGGGGGTGGATGACGAAAGCTAGCGGGGTAGGAGAAAGAAGGAAGGGAAGAGGTGAGTTGCGGAGGGACTGTCATCATCGTGTCGCGGCATTGTTCGTCCCAACGAGGATGCAACAATGATATATGATATATGATATATAACAATGATATATATGGGGGAGGGGGCAGGGGGGGGGCCCTTTCGCGTGAAAAAGCACGTGATGTCCTTGGGGAGCCCCGGAATACTTGCTAAAGCTAGAAGACTCTAGCGAGCTGACGCTAGCTTTCGTGATAATGCCAATAATTGCCAATAATGATAAAATCTAATTGATTAACGATGATGGTGATGATGATGATGATGATGATGTTGACGATGACGAGGACGAGGACGATGACGATGACGAGGACAAGGACGATGGCGAGGACGATGACAATGATGATGATGATGATGATGATGATGATGATGATGATGATGATGATGATGATGACGATGATGATGAGGATGATGATGGTGATGGTGATGATGATGATGATGATGATGATGATGATGAGGATGATGATGATGATGAGATGATGATGATGATGATGATGATGATGATGATGATGATGATGATGACGATGACGAGGACGAGGACGAGGACGATGATGATGATGATGATGATGATGACGATGATGATGACGATGATGATGATGATGATGGTGGTGGTGGTGGTGGTGCGGGGGGGGGCCCCCCTTTCGCGTGAAAAATCACGTGATGTCCTTGAGCACCCCCCGGAATACTTGCTAAAGCAAGAAGACTCCAGCTAGCTGACGCTAGCTTTCGTGACAAAATGGAAAATTCATGAAAATCCGTCAATGGAATATCATGGGAATACGATGAGATATACAACCAACAATATAATGATATTTAAGGCTCCATAAAACCTGGATCTTCAAAAATTGTATCTATAAATAAGTTGCTATGAATTGTATCTTCGTTTTGAGATGATGCCAAGTGATTTCTGAAATCAAAGAACTGGCAAGTTGGATCACCAGCAGGCTGGGACTTCACAGCCGCCCTATGGAAATTCGAGTTGTGATGTTCGACGAAGTGTCAGTACTTGGAGGATCATCCCACATAGTAAGTGATTGTATAATGACCCTGGGATTACCCCTATATAGATATAATATATATATATATATATTATATATATGTATATATATATTATATATATATATGTATATATATATATATGTGTGTGTGTATGTGTGCGTGTGTCTGTGTGTAAAATTATATACCCTCTGGTAAATTAACATAGACCCTGAAAATCACCAATGTTTATTAGAAATTAATCTTCCAACCCCTATCTGGCAGGGTCTATGTTAATTTTCTGGCGGGTAATATGTATAACTGGGTTCTAAATATGAGAATGAACCATTGGCTGAGTGGGATGATCCAAGTACTCATAATCACTGGTTTTGAGATATGTTGAGTCCAGGGGAGTCCTCAAAGGATAGATCATCGCTCCAACGAAATCTATAGTTCAGTACAATTACTCACAGACCATTCAACAACTGAAAGTGTCTCTGATTGTTCCGGATTCAATGAACAACGACCTGCGAAATATGCCTGAAATGCTTGAAATTCTGAGAGATCTCCATGGTGGATAAACTCCTCATCATAACTCTCAAACGAATCATCTGTGGTGGTTTTTGGGGTACAGATCATCCACAGATTTCGAGTTTGGGGTGATGTATGTTGCGAAACGTCCCCACAATAAGGTTCAGACGGATGAGTCTTCCAAAAATGGCAAATTCAAATAAAATCCAAAGTAAAAAGCTACATCCCATATGCTCCATGTGCGGTATGCTATCATTTACCCTAACATAGCATCAAATGTAATAAAATGTAGCTAAATGATGCTGTATATATATATATATATTAATTAATTAATTAATTAATTAATTAATTATTGTCTATATAATTCTCTATATTCTACATGGAGCATATGGAGAACCAGCATCCAGCATCAGATCCCGTGAGAGGAACTTCGTAGGTCAGAGCCTTTGACTTCTTGCGAGCGCGCCCGACCGAATGGTAGGCTTTGGGGGCTGTCAGGTAGAACATTCCTTAGTGGTGGCCCCATCCGCCAACCGAGGTTACCACCCAGCATACCCATAAAACCACCCCAACTGCACCACCGTCATGCCATTTCTATGCCCATCCAATTCAAGCATTTCCAAATTTGGGGAAATCCCCATGTTGACTGCTGAATCCCCAAAACTGCCACAATGAATTTGCCAATCCCACGCCGAACTTCGCACACCGAGGAGGTACCACATCACGAAGTCCGGCCGCTCATAACTTTGGTAGGTCTTTGCCCACTTGAGGCACTCCAGTTCTTGGCGATACTCCAAAGTCCAAACTGCTGCGAGACGTTCCAGTTGCCTGGAGATTTTCAACAGAAGGGCATGACCACTGAGAATTTACCAAGAAGAAATTGGAAGATTTTGCAGCAAAAACTGGGGCGACCATATAAAGTCATGGAAAAACATTGCAAAAAACGATTAATGTTATGGTTCATGTTTCACTATTAACCATGCTCATATGCTTCGTTTATATGCATGTGCGTGACTTTTGGTATAATGGTAACTATTCCAGACATGGAGAAGTTGCGATGGGGATTCGAAGGGAAATGAATTTCGTAGAAGTCGAGGATATAGTTCTGCAGTTCTGTTTGGTTTATATGATTGGCATAGTGGTTGAAAGAACAAGCACATAAGAAAATTGAAGGTAGTAGGGGCATATCTTTTTTTTCAGTGCTTTGAGAAATTGCCAAACATATCAAAAATTGACCGGTTGAAGGAACCAAATGTTGGGGCCGAAGGATCAAACGTGGAAGACAATTCTCACTGCTGATCCCAAATATCCCAGGATCCCACTATTGGGTGTAATCCCCCATGGTTGGACACACCCATTCACATAAAAAAATGTTGAGTGATTCCCCTGGCGTTTTTTGGCAATGAAAGACTGTCATAAAATTCAAAAATGACATGTCGAAGTTGAGATACCCTCACTGTGTTTACAAAGAGACATCGACTCACCCAGAGCGTTCTCCCCCGCACCCCGGCATCGAATGCCATCGAATCTTGTGCCGCCTCTGACACTCTGCAGGCTGCCTCGGTGCGGGCGCATACTTCAGAAAGCCCTCCGCAAAGGGCAGCCGCTCGCAGGCCGCCTTTCGATCCGCCATGGGGTCGTTGCGGGTCTCCAAGTTCCAGGCCGGTTTCGACGTTGGCTTGGGATTTCGCCTCGACGTCAATCTGGATTTGTCCCACAAACAAGTTGATGACGCAATGTTATTGAATCATAAGACATCCAAACTAAATGAATTGATATGTCAATAAATTGGATTTGACTCCCTGACACATCCATAGATCAATCTGGATATTTAAATCATACTATCTGTTGATTGATGATCACATCTACTGCCCATCACTCGGCTGTGAGGCAATAGCATCGAGCCAGGCTTGCCAGGTGCCAACATTTTTTCGGCACCCTTTGAGGGGATCCCTTGGGGGATTTCAGGGGTATACCGGCCAGCTCCCCGTTCTTCTTCTGCAACTCCTGAACATGAACAAATATGAACAAATAACAAACTCAAGATGCACAAAAACATATCCCCATCTAACAGATTAAACATGATTAAACCAGTTAAGTTGGCAAGTCACATCAGAATGTTTATTCTATAACCAACAAAATATTACCGACTATGTTTTGATTAGTCATTTCCCCATCTTAATTTGTATTTAGCACCATTCATTTTGGGAGTCCAAGAATTTTGAGCAGTATACCTGTCGTTGACATCGGCTGCAATCTCTGATGTTCACCAAAGCGTGAATTGTTGGTACCGTTCAAGCTCTTACCAATATGTTACTGATATGTTGGGTTCCAAGGTGCACAAAAGATATTCACAAGTGGCAAGTGGTAACAAGAAGCATTTCAGCTGATATTGTTTCCCACGACACTTCACAACATTTACATATATGATAACATGGATATTGTCGCCCGAAATCCGATATCTAAGAATCCAGGTAGGATTCTAAAAAACGTATCACAACCAATCAACCATCAATCAACGATCATCCATCCATGATATCCCCAGATCTTTAGTGGCGATTTCACCCAAACTTGGTTGAATCCCTACTGCATAATCCATCAACCATCATCTGCCACCTATATCCCCATATATTTGACAGATAAAACTGCATAAATAATAAACCACCCGTAATTTATGTTCAAGTTCCAGTGAAATCCTACATTCTTTGGGTTGGTTTAAGGGAACATTTAAAGGAAACCCCTATATTTCATGGTAAGAACCATGGTTTCCTGTATATGGTCCCTTTAAACAATCAAAGGAGAGTTGGTTCCCCATGATATTCCCATGATATATCTATTTTTGTTTGTTGAAACCCCATCTTTGTCCAATCATTGCTTTTCTAGTGAGATATCTTTGGGAACCCCATTTTTTTACGTCGCGCAAACAAACCACCTCCTCGTTGTGACAGCGTGCCAAGCCAAAACGGCTCGTTGCCCCTGGCAGTGAGGACGTTTCCCTGAATGGATGGGACAGAGATAGCAAGATATACACAGACACATCCATATTTTTGATTCCATATGGATTAGCTACAGCCTATAGGCCTCTGTTAGTCTGGCCCCTCAAAACGAAGGCAACAGGCACTGGCAATGAGTCGACGGCAGGACAACCAAATGACGACAGCAATGTATCGGCACGCCAACGGCAAGGCAATTAAAGGGCGACGGCATGGCAACGGCATGGCCACAGCATGGCGACGACATTGCGACGACATGGCGACGACATGGCGACGACATTGCGACGACATGGCGATGACGTAATGACAACATGGCGGCGGTGCGGCGACGACGACGACGCCAATGGCGGCGAAGCAACGGCGAAGCAACGGCGATAACAACAACAAGGGGCAACCTGCCTGCCCCATCATGCTCAATCACTGTTAGCCCTCCATCTTGGCAGAGTGTGATGCTATCTTTGGGTGTGTGTGCGTGTGTGTTTGTTAACATGTTTTCTCTGCATGATGACTAGTATATATAATATACTATATATATATATATATATACGTTGTTTGCTTTTGTGGGTCCTGGAGTATTGATTATTTTGTATTGGGCTTTTGGCTTGCATGCTTTGCACTTTACAACTGGGTTTTGTACACTTTGCATATGTTGTTGCATCCCTGACATTCAGACAACGATTCTTTTTACTAAAGCATATCAGCAGACAATGCCTATACAAGTCAGATACTCTCAAGTCAGACAGGCTTCAGTGCACAGAACAGCCTTTAACGCCAAAGGTTGGCGAAATTGAATGCAAAGAAAGGTGTGCACAAACTTCTGCACGTTCACCGCCAAACTGCCCTTGGGTTTGCTTGAGCTACGCGCCAGCTGAATTTCAAGTAAGTTATACGCTATATAGGTTTTTGTGACACGTTAGATCCCTTCTAAACGCATTTAGTTTGGAACAAGTTCTTACCCATTGACACCTTGTCTTCATCGAATTTGTGAGGACATAGTACCTAGGCTTGCATACTGACAATGAGCAGCTACAGCAACCTGAATCTGTTCTGTCCCGCTCCAATCCTACATGACATTTTTTTTCGATCACCATTTTTTACATAAAATGCATGGACTTGACAACATGTTCCACATGTATATCATTGTATATCAATTCCAGATTTTGCACGTGTCAATCACAGGTCCTGTATCTCCTTTATCTTCACCTCCCCTTTGCAAACACGCACGTTGTGAAATACCATGGGCCCAGCATGCATGGCACCCTGGCGATTTTTGAAACCTGCGCAGCAATCTAGATGCTATCAATGTCATAATCAGCGATGTTCAAAACCCGCTGTTGGTGATTGATTTTGCTCGCCTTTCGGAGCTCTGATCAACAAACCAGTATATTGCAATCAGATGGATCTTGAACACTGCTGATATGAATCGTCTACGTGAACTGATGTTTGGCACACTGAGTGGTGAACAATGGTTAGATTCTTAACAGGATGTCTGGCACAGTGTTTTCGATACAGCTTCGGTGCATTAGCACCCTGCTAACTCATTTGGGCCAAGAGCCGGGTGTAAGGAATCATCGCCAGCCCGTGAATCACTGGCAAGTACTTGCAATAAAGAGAGATCAGCTTAGTCACCTTCTTCATGTGCCCCAAAACAATTTCGCTTTCTGCACCTTTTGCGAAACAGGTGACGGGTTGGGAGCACCAATCAACAAAGTGATAGGTTTATATACATGTTATTTTGCCTAAGAAAAGTACCACGGCCAAGGTCACCAAACGGGCGCGCTATTGAATATGGTTGGGATTTTAACTTCAAAATGAGTATTGCGCTGTTCTACTCAGATATTCTTCCCAAGCCCAGCTCTAATTATGAAAATCTACTCCGGTAATAAACGTATTTTTTGTATAGGCACCGCATGCTGACCCATGACAAGGTGATATTTCATAGGTGAAGCTTGGGCAGAGGTGCTACGTCAAGAACTCTCAAGCCAGACATGCTCAAATACACGGTCGAGTCTTTCACACCAAAGGTTGATGAACTTGAATGCCATAACTTGCAAGGACCCCATCGTTTTTGCGTTCTCCTTGTGTTCAATTTGTTTGAATTTTGCGCCGGCTAAAAAATCAATGATATCAATGTCAAGCACTACAACTTTGCACGCTAGATGCATGGTCGCATGTTGAACCTGGAAAGGTTTCTAGGAAGTCATGTAAATATACAACATGTAGTCCCAGTTTCATCTTGAAAATTTGGGCATATAGCATCTACATCGTCAACAGCGCAGGTTATGTAATGTAGTACTGCATTTAAAAGGAATCTGGTTCACCCATTGTTTTCTGAAAAAAAGGGCTCACATGCTGATAATGCGTCATACCCTGTGCAAGCACATGTCCAACGTGTTTCTTCATCTAAAACCAGTTCACACACACAGATCTCGCGAAATACAATGGACGTAATGCGCAGGAATTGCCAAAATCAAGCGAGCAAGTGGTTGAAATATTTGATACAACCGGCGATAATTGTGAAGGAAAAAAGCAATCAACTTTGCTTTCTTTGAATAAGTGTAGCGTAGATTCTCCTCCTCTAGATGCAAATTGGAACCGAAAATCCAAACGCACAGCGGGACTGGGGAAGAACCCCGCGGAGCGGCTTCCTACAAAGGGGAGACGTATAGGAAGGGGTTTCAAAAGCCACATAAACAGGAAACATGTTTTTCCGCACCCCTAGCTCCAGACAAGAGGGGTTCATCTCCGGACAGGGCGGGGGATCAAAAAGAGAATAAACCATTTGTTCCCTGCATTGTCCGGCGAATTCATCCCCCCTGCCTGGAGACGGAATATATTGATGCACAGAAACATCAAAGAACCCCGAATTGAGATTCACTACGTTTGTCCAAGTTGTGACTTTAGCAACATGAGACTTCATGCGCTGTCAAAAACAAACTGCTGTTGTTTCAAGCCCATTGATCGAACACAATTCAAGTTGAATGCTGCCAGCACCGGAAACAAACACCCATTTAACGTCACTTCTCTTTTCCTTTTTTGAGCACATACACAGTGCCGATTTGCATCTTCCCGAGGTCACACGCGCTTGGTTTTTGAAACGAATCAAGGCCCATTCGATGACTGCATTGGAAGGCCATAGCGGTCATTTCAAATCACACCAATCATATCGGGCAGCTGCATGACGACGACCTTGCAACAACACGGCAAGCAGTGCGGTGTCATCATCAAAAAAACATGTTTTTATTTGCCTGTGCGTCGGCACGATTTTGGGTCTTTGGTGGAAGGTGACACTCTGTGAGCAGGGGTTGCGTTTTGCTTGCAAATGCGATGATCCATGGATTTCGTGTCGCCGTGTTACTTTATTGGTTTCTGCGACATGATGATAGGACCAGGAAGAGATTTCAAATTAAAGGATATTTCCATCGTCATGTCATTGTCAAAATTGTAAAAAATGTCGTCGTCGTGTGGTCGTCACATTGCCACCACATTGCCACCACATCGCCGCCACATCGCCGCCACATCGCCGCCACATCGCCCCCACATCGCCGCCACATCGCCGCCACATTGCCGCCACATCGCCGCCACCTCGCCGCCGCATTGCCGCCACATTGCCGCCACATCGCCGCCACAGCTGCCACAGGACCTTATTTCTGCCAATAAGGTCCTGTTTGGCCAGAACAAGACCTTATTGGCAGAAATAAGGTCCCGTGGCAGCTGTGGCGGCGAGGTGGCGGCAATGTGGCGGCAACGTGGCGGCAATGTGGCGGCAATGTGGCGGCAACTTGGCGGCAATGTGCCGCCACATTGCCGCCACATCGCCGTCACATCGCCGCCACATCGCCACCGCATTGCCGCCACATTGCCGCCACATCGCCGCCACATTGCCGCCACATTGCCGCCACCTCGCCGCCACAGCTGCCACAGGACCTTATTTCTGCCAATAAGGTCTTGTTTTGGCCAAACAGGACCTTATTGGCAGAAATAAGGTCCTGTGGCAGCTGTGGCGGCGATGTGGCGGCAATGTGGCGGCAATGTGGCGGCGATGTGGCGGCAATGTGGCGGCGATGTGGCGGCGATGTGGCAAAGTGGGTGGCGGCAATGTGGCGGCGATGCGTGCGGCGGCGATGTGGTGGCGGCGTGTGGCGGGAAGCGGCGGCGCGATGTTGGCGGCGATTTGTGGCGGCATGGCGGCGATGTGGCGGCAAGGTGGCGGCAAGCGGCGGCGGATGTGCGGCGGCGATGTGGCGGCGATGTGGCGGCGAGTGTGGAGTCGGCGATGTAATGGTGATGTGGTGGCAATGTGGCGGCGATGTGATGGCGATGTGGTGGCAATGTGGCGACAATGCGGTGACGCTGTGTTGACAAAGTCGCGACAACTTAGTTAGGAAGACGATGATTGCGTGCCCTCACATAGACAAAGCAGAAGAGTTGCGGCGGTGAAAACTTTACCCCGCAGAAAAATATTTACATTGCAAATTTGGAAAGCCGGTCCTTCTTACCCCGAACCAGAAAGCCCAGCAAATTCACCAGTCATGTCCATTTCCCAAACTTTGGGGCGCCTGCGTGTTTTCAGATGACACTTGCATATTGTTCAGCGTTGCCTCTTCTAGTCCTGGCGTGGCCCAAACATTAGACAGTGTGACTCTATCTGTTCGCGTGTGTTTTGCAATGTTTCTTGCTGTGATGCTATGACTGTTGATTATTTTGTGTTCAGCTTTTGGCTTGCATGCTTTGCACTTTACCACTGGTTTTTGCACACTTTGCATATGGTGTTGCATCATTGAAATGCAGGCGACGTTTCTTTTTACTAAAGCATGCCAACGTACAGTGCCTGCAAGTCAGATACTCTCAAGTCAGACATGCTTGAGTACACGGAGCAGCCTTCAACGCCAAAGGTTGGTGAAATTGAATTCAAAGGTGTACAAAAACTTCTTTGTGCTTACTGTTAAACTGCCTTTGGGTCTGCTGGATCTATGCGCCAGCTGAATGATGATTGTGACACGTTGGATCCCTTCTAAACGCATTTAGTTTGGAACAGATTCTTGCCCATTGACACCTTGTCTTCATCGAATTTGTGAAGACATAGTACGTAGGCTTGCGTATTGACAACGAGCAGCTACAGCAACCTGAATCTGTCTGTCCCGCTCTAATCCTACATGATATTTGTTTTTTTTTCGATCACCATTTTTTACATAAAATGCATGGACTTGACAACATGATCCACATGTATATCAATTCCAGTTTTTGCACGTGTCAATCACAGGTCCTGTATCTCCTTTATCTTCACCTCCCCTTTGCAAACACGCACGTTGTGAAATACCGTGAGTCCAGCGTGCATCCTAGCCATGTTTGAAACGTGCGCATCAATCTAGATGCTGCAATCAATTTCAAATCAGCGATGTTCAAAACCCTCTGTTGTTTGAAGATTGCGGGCGGCTTTACCAGCCAGTGTATTGGGGACTATCAGGGCGCCCCTATCAACCAACCAGCATACTGCAACCAGATGGGCCTTGAACACCGCTGATGTGAATCGTCTACATGAATCGATGTTTGGCACATTTTGGCACCCTGTATGGTAAACAACAGCTAAGTTTTTAAACAGGATGTCTGCAATGAGAAAGGAAGACACGCAAGATAGGTTTCTATTATAGTTCTGTTAACCTTTTCGGGCCAACTGCAAGGAATCATTGCCAGCCTGTGAATCACTGGCAAGTAAGCTCAGTCACCATCTTCATGTGCCCTTATAAAGCAAGTTTCTTGTCAGCAAAATGTGCAAAACGGGTGACCGGTTGGGAACACCAATCAACAAAGTGGTAGGTTTAATTAGGTTTCTATACATGTTATTTTTCCTAAGGGAAAGTACCAAGACTAAGGTCACCAAACGGGCGCGCTATTGAATATGGTTGGGATTTTGCTTCAAAATGAGTATTGCGCTGTTCTACTCAGATATTCTTCCCCAAGCCCAGCTCTAATTATGAAAATCTACTCCGGTAATAAACGTATTTTTTGTATAAACACCGCATGCTGACCCATGACAAGGTGATATTTCATAGGTGAAGCTTGGGCAGAGGTGCTACGTCAAGAACTGTTAAGCCAGACATGCTCGAATACACAGTCAAGCCTTTCACACCAAAGGTTGATGAACTTGAATGCCATAACTTGCAAGGACCCCATCGTTTTTGCGTTCTCCTTGTGTTCAATTTGTTTGAATTTTGCGCCGGCTAAAAAATCAATGATCTCAATGTCAAGTACTACAACTTGGCGCACTAGATGCATGGTCGCAGGTTGAATCTGGAAGGGTTTCCAGGAAGTCTTGTTTAAAAACAATAAAAAATGTAGTCACAATGTTCACCCAAAACTACGAGGAATGCTTTTTAGCACATGGCACCTACTTTGTCAACAGCGCGTGGGTTATGTAATGTTGTACCACATTCAGAAAAGGAATCTAGCTCACTCACTCTGTGCGGAATAAAATTCATGGACTCACATACTGATAATGCGTCATATCCAATGCTTGCGCATGTCCCACGTGTTCTCTCTAACCCCAATACACACACACACAGACACGGTGAAATTCCATATGGACGCAATGTGCAGGAATTACCAAATCAATATTCAGCGTATTCGAAAAATTTGATACAATCGGCGATCATATTGAAGCAAGGAAAGCCAATCAACTTTTCTTCCTAAACACTTGAATCGAAACAAGTTCCAAAGAGTTGAATATAAGTGTAGCCTAGATCCTCCCCTTCTAGATACCAATTGGAACCGAAAATCCAGACGTACAGTGGGACTGGGGAGGAACCCCACGGAGCGGCTTCCTACAGAGGCGAGACATATAGGAAGGGGTTTCAGAAACCACATAAAAGGGAAACACTTTTTCCGCACCCCTAGCTCCAGACAAAAGGAGTTCATCTCCGGACAGGGCGGGGGATCAAAAAGAGAATAAACCATTTGTTCCCTGCATTGTCCGGCGAATTCATCCCTCCTGCCTGGGAATATACTTATGCACAGAAACATCAAAGAACCCCGAATTGAGATTCACTAAATTTGTCCAAGTTGTGACTTTAGCAACATGAGAGCTCATGGGCTGTCAAAAAAAAACTGCTGTTGTCTCAAACCCATTGATCGAACACAATTCAAGTTGAATGCTGCCAGCACACGAAACACACCCATTTAGCCTTGCCCGATTCAGAAAGCATGGCGCCCATCTGGGAAAGAACATACGAAAAACTGATTTGGTTGTGACAAACGCGCTTCGGCATCATCAAACCATAGCCATATGTATATCTATGTCTACACCATACCCTATATAACTCTGTCTCGTGATCGTCGCCGTCGTCCTCGTCATCGCCGTCATCGTCGTTCTCACCGTCGTCGTTGTCGTCCTGGCCACGTCGCCATGTCGTCGCCATGTCGTCGCCATGTCGTCGCCATGTCGTCGCCATGTCGTCGCCATGTGGTCGCCGTGTCGTCGCCATGTCGTCGCAATGCCGTCGCCAAGCCGTCGCCATGTGGTCGCCGTGTCGTCGCCATGTCATCGCAATGCCGTCGCGATGCTGTCACCATGCCATGGGCATGTCGTCGTCATGTCGTCGTCATGCCGTCGCCATTTGCACCAACTAAGCTTGCCACAGACCCCCTGGTACATACTAGAAACCTCTGCCCACAGGCTTCTAGAATCTAGATAACATATGGATATATAATACAGGTGTATATGGGTGTGTCTACATTGTCTACATACATCTAATATACGGGTACGTCTGGCTCCCTTCCAACACGCAACTCATTCTTTGGTCTGGAAAATATGCCTCCATTTTCAAATTGCAATGCTTTATGTTCAGCCATTTTACCAAGTACTTGTCTACAGTATACAAGTGAGCTGTTTTCAAAACCCTCTGCCATCCCGCTGCTGCGCTTTTTTTTCGATTGAGGATGGAGTTCCAAGTTTACGGAGTTCACGGGTCGGTGCATACCCCAGAAACCAGGTAGATAAATCAGGCCCCACACCAATCAGACTTCAGCAGTTTCACAAAAAAATCGGGCATCAAAGCAACCAAAAAATCTTTAGTCACTCTAGTCGAGGAAAACAACGGCGAAATCTCATGGTCAAAAATTGTGATAAAACTGCGAATCTGACCCGGGAAAAATGAAAAAACGGATGCTTAAGCCACAACAAACCACTCATGCAACAATTTATGATGGGATCATTAGCTAGAAAAAACAAGACTCATGGGAATTTCAACAATAGGAACCCTGGTTTGCAAACATGGTGCCCAACTTACCAACTGAAGAATTTTCCAGCCATGTCAGCCCACCACAAGCTAGATTTGAATGTGTTAGGGCCTATCCAATGATTGACGAAAACATATGTTCTTCATGATACTCCCCAAAAAGAAATACAATGAACTATTTATATGCCCACCTATGGGGTTGTCTCAAAACAGGATACCCTCACTTCCAATGAATCAGCATCATGTCCCCATGGTTTCCCTATCAAATTGATGATTCCCCTTATGGTCCCATTGTACCTCCGTTCAAAAAATATATCCCATTGCATCCCGATGAAAAATCTCCAGTGTCATGAAATCACAACATCAAACCATATACATGACTTCAGTTGTGGTTGCTAATCCCATTTTATACCATTAAACCACACATAACCACACTATGTAATCCGGTGACATAATCCCATCCAAAACTCCCATAAGTTTGATTCATTTCATCCCAGCCCTTTCCCCCACCAGCATATTCGATTGCTTCGACAAATGCCCCAAGACCACCTGGGATATGACTGGAGTCGAATATGATATGACTGGCTGACATTGCTAACATGAGGACAATCATGGGATATTGCATGGCAATATAAATGGAAGTAAATGCGACTTGTTTCATGTAGGGGGATGGCATGGCATATGGGATATCTTATTGTCATGGGACATAATGCGGAGTGCGATTCAAATGGGACATAAATTCAACATAATGGGGATATCATGGGAATATAACTTGGAAATATTCTATCAATAGTCATGTTTATGGGATATCATGGGGAAATATCCAATATCCAACGACCATGGAATATGACCGGAATTATATAGTAGGATATCACTTAGAGGATCACACCACGAAGAGTTATAACTCGTTCGAGTTTCTGGATTGCAGATAAATCAGATAGACATGGGATAACCAACGAATCAAGTACTTGCAATCAGCAGGGTTATCAACTAGCCGCGATTCCTGGGATGATTCTGGAACTGGGTCGAAAAAAAGAACCATCACATCGAACCATATGCCAGGATTCTGGCAAATGTTGGGCAAACTGTTTTAACTTAAGCAACCCCAAGGTTTGGAAAACAATTCCATTTGAGAGTTTTCTATAAATGGGGGTACCCCTGGTCATCCATTTTAGATTGGGATTTTCCATGAAATAAACCATCCATTTGGGGTACCCCCTTTATGGAACCCCCTATGTGTTTCGAAGAATGGGGTATCTGTTGGGCCAGCAATTGTTATGGACACAAAACTGATAAAAGCGTTCCTCATAGGGAATTTCAGCAACAAGTCAACTTGGACATATAAATATTACAATTTGCGATCTAAGAAACACAAGGCCAATGTTTCATGGATATAATATCCCCGGTTTTAGTTTAATGTCTAGATGTCCTCATTAACCATTAATAACCATTAATCACCATCAATTAATAATCATCATATACCTGGGTAAATTATAATAATTCACTAACCTGAAATGTTGGGCCATTTGGGGATGATTTCCAATACTAACCATGATTCCCAGGGTTCGGTTGCAGTGAGGTCGTTATAATTTACCCAGATAGTTGCTAGATGTGAATAGCGTCTATAAACCAATTTCTAGGGAGTTAACCTCATTAACCATTAATCAACATTAATCACCATTAATCACCATTAATCACCATTAATCACCATCAATCACCATCAATTAATAATCATCATATACCAACGTTCGCTGCGTAGATTGCAAAATCCCCGCCGCACCTTCGCCTTCAGGCGTTGGGCCAGCAAGGTCTCTTGTATCTCGGGTCCGAGAGCCCCGAACCCAGCAGAGAACATTCACCCAATAAGGAATAGAGAGTCAAGCAATAGAAAATAACGATTTAACCAACAAGAATCGTGTCTTTTAACATGTTCAACCAATTTAAATAACAGGAATATGGTTTCAACCAACAAGAATGATGGTTTTTACCAGCAGAAATGTTGAGTTCAGTCAGAAAACAATGAGGATTGAACCGGTCAAAAGTTGGGGACAAGCACCCTCCAGGAACGTCACCTTGACGAACATCTCCCTGGTCCTAGTTCTTGACCTCAAAAATTCAATGTTTGTTCGTAAAACCCAGGTTGAACGCTGCTTACATCCCCTATTTCTTATCATGAAAAACTACTCTGTTTGCTGCCAAAATGAAATGGCAAAAACCCCGGCAAATCACCCAAAAAAACCGAAAACCTCTTCAAACGTTCACGTTCTGCTGGGAACTACCCAACTGCTGCCAGCTGCTGCCATCTCTGCCCTGGGTCGCTGGCCAAGTGCTCCACCTGCCGTCGCCAGGCCTAGGATCCGGATCCGGCCAAAAAATTACAGCCTCTCCGTGATTTTTCAGATTTTCAATATATATATATATACATATATACATATATATATAGTGATTAAAACCCAAAGTGGAGGATCACCGAGGATATTTTGCGTGATTTACAGTGATTTCACCTGGTGATCGATGTATGATAAAGCGTGATTAACATCATAATACCAGTATATAAGTCGAAATGTAATCGACAAAACACTGTATGCTATAACACATAATCATTGATGTTTTTTTTTGTGTAAATACTCTGGAGCAACTATCAATCATCAATAATGACACTTGTATATTAATTATAGTTGGTTGTCACTTATTTATCAGTTGATTAAACGGAGTGATCAATCCACTACTTTGAATAACAATTTGACCATAGTAATAAAGATTTAATCAATAATCAAGGGAAACTAAGCAACTAGGTCCACCGATTGCAATCCTACCTGATGGACTCAAGGGAAAAACGCGATGGGAATGTGTAATTCAAAGTGTTTGACTACTGCAATCCATTAAACTTGGGTTTAAACTTTTAACTGAACTAATAGCTGCTTGGATTTTCTTAGGAGACCGCGCAAAGGCCAAACAAACAAAACCATGGTATTATTATAAACCATCCCATCTGGGGATGCACATGCATGGATGTTTGGAGCATCCTTTTAAAGGACATTTTGATGGAACATGTTGCCAAAATATGTTGCGGCTTGGCACGGTTCAGCCAATGTTGCGCCTGCCACGTGACTTCATTGATGTACTGCGCCTGCCACGTGACTTGTCTTAAGTTCTTAAGATGTTGCGCCTGCCACTCATTGATGTACTGCGCCTGCCACGTGACTTGTCTTAAGTTCTAAAGATGTTGCGCCTGCCACTCATTGATGTATTGCGCCTGCCTATCTATATCATAGATAATCGTTATAATCAAGTGGATCATCACGTCAACAATCACTACTTGGGGGGTCGCTAAAGGGGAAGGTAGGTGAAAAAGATGATATGTGATAGTTGTCAACGGTGGCCTAAATTTGGCGACATCCCGGTAAATCAGGTGGAAAAAGCAAGTTTTTTTTTTGGCTGCTTGCAATGATTTGATCCTTGTTGTTCCAAACAGTATGGTAAATCTTGGCAAAGCAATGGAGTTTTGGGAAAAAGCGACGTGCCGTTGAGAGCGTTGGCTCAAAGTGTTCGAAAACCATTTACAACTGACTACTTTGGAAATTCTCCATATGCCTCGTCGCCGTGCCCAGACCAAGACGGGTCAGGCTGCGAGCTTGCCAGGGAAGCTCTGGGAAGCTTGGACTCAACATTTACTTAAGACTGGACCCACATGGGTGTGGGTGGCGGTTATCCTCACCCACATCCTTTGCTGCAGGATCACAGAGATCCTGTGGTTGAGAAACAAAAATTCGATTTCAAAAGACGCTGTGTGACAATTCGCGCACTGAAGCGTCAACCCCAGGCTAGGGTTTTCAGAGATGTGTATCTATGTTTTGTATGTGATGTGATGTGATGTTATGTTATGTTATGGTATGTATGTTATGCATCTTATGTATGATATGATATGTGATGCAATGAAATGAATGTTATTTATGTTCTGTTACGTTATGTATGTTGTGCATTTTATGTAACGTAATGTAATAAAATATATGTTTTATTGTGTTATGTTATGTTATGTTTTGTTAAGTTATGTTATGTTATGTATGTCAAGACTTGTATGTAATGTAATGTTATGTTATGGTATGTTCTGTTATGTTTTGTTTTTTGGCATGTTATGTTATTGTGTGTGTGAGCACATATGTATGTATGTACGCATGTATGTATGTGTATGATTGTATGTAATGTAATGTAATGTAATGTAACGTAACCTAACGTAACGTAATGTAATGTAATGTAGCATGCATGTATGTATGTATGTATGTACGTACGTACGTATGTATGTATGTGCATTTGTGTAATGTGAATCTGTTTCTTTGTCGTGCGAAAGGGTTTACACATATATAGTGAGAGAACACAATAAATATGTATGTTTCTATAATTGGATATTCATACATGTGTACTGTACATTATACGGCGCTCTTTCCCTGAAGGTTCGCAAATGGCTACTCACATCCGTACTTCTACTTCTTCGGAAACTGAGAGACCATGGGAAGACCCGAAAATGCCAGCGCCAGTGTGGAGCACCAGGCAAAGAAAAGGTTGATGACAGCTCAGAGTGGATCACTGCAGTCGCGTCAGCTGTGAAATCCTGGGCAGAACGATACCGATTGGAGTTAAAAGGTCGGTCTTGAATTTGTGGATTTGGATGATGTCTCCATGTTCTGGGCTTTGGTTTTGCTAAATCCTTAAGAAAATTCACTGAGAATCTAGGTTTTACACCATCGAAATAGTGATTCAGCGATGCCTGTTCGTCACAGTTTCGGAGCTGAACGTTCGGCTCCGTACCTGGGACTAGCCAGGCTGAGGTTGTTGAGAAAAAATCACCTATGTAGTTTCCACCCAACTTGTTATAAACTACAAGTGAGGAAGCTGATCATCACCAACTTCGGAGCTGAACGTTCGGCTCTGAATTAGTGACTTGCAGTGTGCGTTGAAACCCTGTTTGGAAACTTCAGGGTGTGCAGTTTGGTCTGACTTTGCTTCGAATAGCCGCTATCGCTGAGTGATCGAGTTGAGTTGAGACGTAGCTAGACATTTCCAGCTGTCATCAACCTTTTCTTTGCCTCGTGCTCCGCACTCGCGCTGGCATTTTCGGGTCTTCCCATGGTCCCTCAGTTTCCGAAGAAGTGGAAGTACGGATGTGAATAGCCATTTGCGAACCTTCAGGGAAAGAGCGCCGTATAATGTACAGTACACATGTATGAATATCCAATTATAGAAACATACATATTTATTGTGTTCTTTCGCTATATATGTTAAAACCCTTTCGCACGACAAGGAGAAACATATTCACATAGACAAATGCACATACATACATACATACATACATACATACATGCATGCATGCATGCAATTACATTACATTACATTACATTACATTACATTACATTACATTTACATTACATTACATTACATTACATTTCAATACATTACATTACATTACACTACACTACACTACATTACATACATACATTCATACATGCATACATACATACATACACATACATGCATGCATGCATACATACATATTTACTTAACACACCATAACATAACACACCATAAAATAACATAACATATCATAACATACCATAACATAACATGACATTCCATACAAGTCTTGACATACATAACATAACATAACATAACAAAACATAACATAACATAACACAATAAAACATATATTTCATTACATTACGTTACATAAAATGCACAACATACATAACATAACAGAACATAACATAGCATAACATACTTAACATAACATCGAATAACAAACAAAACATTACATGCATAACATAACATACATAGCACGACATAACATATCATAATATAACATTCATTTCATTGCATCACATATCATATCATACATAAGATGCATAACATACATACCATAACATAACATAACATCACATCACATCACATACAAAACATAGATACACATCTCTGAAAACCCTAGCCTGGGGTTGACGCTTCAGTGCGCGAATTGTCACACAGCGTCTTTTGAAATCGAATTTTTGTTTCTCAACCACAGGATCTCTGTGATCCTGCAGCAAAGGATGTGGGTGAGGATAACCGCCACCCACACCCATGTGGGTCCAGTCTTAAGTAAATGTTGAGTCCAAGCTTCCCAGAGCTTCCCTGGCAAGCTCGCAGCCTGACCCGTCTTGGTCTGGGCACGGCGACGAGGCATATGGAGAATTTCCAAAGTAGTCAGTTGTAAATGGTTTTCGAACACTTTGAGCCAACGCTCTCAACGGCACGTCGCTTTTTCCCAAAACTCCATTGCTTTGCCAAGATTTACCATACTGTTTGGAACAACAAGGATCATTGCAAGCAGCCAAAAAAAACTTGCTTTTTCCACCTGATTTACCGGGATGTCACCAAATTTAGGCCACCGTTGACAACTATCACATATCATCTTTTTCACCTACCTTCCCCTTTAGCGACCCCCCAAGTAGTGATTGATGACGTGATGATCCACTTGATTATAACGATTATCTATGATATAGATAGGCAGGCGCAATACATCAATGAGTGGCAGGCGCAACATCTTTAGAACTTAAGACAAGTCACGTGGCAGGCGCAGTATCAATGAGTGGCAGGCGCAACATCTTAAGAACTTAAGAACTTAAGACAAGTCGCGTGGCAGGCGCAACATCTTAAGAACTTAAGGCAAGTCACGTGGCAGGCGCAGTACATCAATGAAGTCACGTGGCAGGCGCAACATTGGCTGAAACGTGCCAAGCCGCAATATATATATATATATATATTGGCAACATGTTCCATCAAAATGTCCTTTAAAAGGATGCTCCTAACATCCATGCATGTGCATCCCCAGATGGGATGGTTTATAATAATACCATGGTTTTGTTTGTTTGGCCTTTTCGCGGTCTCCTAAGAAAATCCAAGGCTGTCCGATACTTTCATAGTGATGGCCGGTCTACTACAGTAGGGTAAGCCCCTCATCTGTGACACCAAATCTCCCTCAGATTTGACACCAAAACACCCCTGATTTTCACTCATCCGCGACACCATTTTCCCCTCATCTGCGACACAATCCTGCAAATGCCTGTGCCTTTCAGGGATTTGGGACACCATTTCCCCCTCATCTGCGACACAATTGCCTTTTAGGGCTTTGGGGTGGGTGGGGTGGGGGGGTGGGGTGGGGTGGGGCAATAACGTTCATGTACCCGCGCGCACACAAGCACTGCACCCTCATCACACAAGAGCTGCACCTTCATCATGGTTCACTATTGGGTTGGGGTGGGGTGGGGGGTGGGGAAAAGGCACGACATGTGCATCAGAGCCTGCAAAAGAAGCTGCTTCAATCATAGACAACGGAGACCTCTCAGGAGATGATGAACCTTCCGAAGGAACCGCTGCAGCCACATCGTCGAGAAAACGTGCAACGGCGCTTGCCCTCTGGCACCGGCACCACCCGAGAGGTCAGGAAATTGATCGTAGACACCAATGCAGGGCTGAAGGAAGCATGTCTGCTTTCATAGCGGTTTCAATCCATCACCAGCATTGGCAGGCCCACGGCAACTGTGTGCCAAGGATAATTGCGATCTCCAAGAATAAGTGGTCGGACTGCGTCATCTGCAGCATTTGCGCCTGGCGGCACGCTCAGCACCTGCAAAAGACACAGCGGAAAAAACTTTTCCCGCGCACTCAATTACGGCTGCACTGGCACATAGTAAATGCTAACACATGCTTCCAAACGAATTCAAACTGCTTTGCGCTGCTACTAGGACAATGCTAGCAGCAAAGAACCTCATGTAGCTGGTGCAGCTCATCACTCGAGAACTCATCCCAGCATTGAAGAAACGGTGGCAACCGCTTCTCAGCTGAACGAAGGACCAGGATAAGAGTCAAAAATGTAAGCGTTTCAGACATGCTCACTTGAGCCCTTAGACACAGCAATCAGTCCTTCAACAGCGCGCCCTTCATGGATAAGTAGAAATCAAATCTCACAAGGTTTTTGAGCGTGTGGCATGTTGAGAGTGATCACCTGACTTATCAGAAACCAACGGCCAGACTTTACGACATGCGCGCTGCCCATCTCTCACGGAGTTCACATGGTCCATTCATTCTTTTCACATTGATCTGCGTCAAAATGAACATTTAAAAAAAAAAGCAGTGCCTCTTTGCTGGCAGAAATTCTCCCAGCCATTTTGTTGAATCTATAGATTGCTGCCCATGTCACGCGATGAAGCAACGATATGACTTGACAATTGGAACACAGACACATTGATGTTAACACTCTGTCTGTCTTCAGCTGATGCATACGCTGCTACAACTGCACACCTTCGATGCCAATTTTCTTTTCTTACGTCTCCGTCGAATGGGGGTCGGTCACATGTTCCTTTCATCCTTTCAAGCTGGCGGGTGTGGATGGAATCCGTACGTCGCGAGCTTTTGGTAGCTGTGCTCCTGACAAGAACATGACAATCATACACAAGACTCAAGCATTCTCCATAAAATGCGTCACAATCAAAAACTCAGCAAGAGAACGTGAAAGGGTGACAGTTGCTGAGGCGGTCTTGAGGAAGTATGAATGGAGTAGGTGACATGGTCTTTAGTGGCAAAAAAAAATCTTGTGAATGTTTCCAGACTGCAAAATAAAAAGCGCAACCCACTTGCCAAACCC